AAAACGTGAAGTAACGGGGGTTTTAGTGCATAATTCGCTTCAAAATCCAACTTGGGAGTGTATGACTAGCATAATATTGAGGTTACTGATTTTAAGGGCTCATACTGAAAGAAACACAAATAAGTGTTTTTGAACAACTAATCGAGGTATTGCGCTATATATTTGCCAAATTTGGACTTTTCATTGCTCATAGCTTTTACTAAAGAACTTTATTTGCTTTTCAGCTGTTCAAAAACATTTATTTGCGTTTCTTTAATGTGAGCATTCCGTGAAATCAGTACACTCAATATGATGCTAGTCGTGCACTTCCAAGTCAGATTTTCAAGCAAATTATGCATCAAAACCCCCGTTACTTCACATTTTTAAGGATAGTGTACAACGAAGATAGGGGGTTGACCGCTATTTGCATTGCCTGTTTTGTTACTAACCATAGTGCTGTCACTTATAATCAGATCAACCATAATCATTTATCAGAATCGCTTACATCTCGTCCCTTCGCCGTAAATTCCCCCCACACCTCGCCCCACCTGTCGAATATCAATCGCGCATAGTTGGTAGATGTTTATTCCTATAACTTTCAATTCGAATCTTATTCTTCTAAACAACCATTCCTCCCGGATCAAGTCAGCTAGCTTGTACCGGGGCTGGCTGACGTCTAAAAAACAGGGTCTTCATAAACTTTAGAAGAAGCAAGACTTCATAAATTATCCTGGACAAAGCGCTTTTTCATTCGGCTTTGCTGATGCTGACAATCAAATGTCTACGTCGTCATAATAGGGCTTCGTTATTTGTTTTGTCTTGCCATTTACATAACTCTCCTTCCTTCTGTGGTTGACGATTGGCTGGCCTTTTGTCTCTTTTTTTGTGCTGCCAGTGTTGTCTGTGTTCTGTTCGATTTCGGTCTTTTTGTGGTGCACCATGAGTGTAACATAAAATAGAAAATGAAATAAGGAATAAAAAAGAAGATCTTGTATCCTAACATTGAGCTTTCATTTATGGGAAATTTCGCACATTGCCATATACTTACTATTCTAGTGAGAGTGTTATAGAAACACATTATCATGTAGAAAAACGCGTAATATACATCTTTTGAGAAATTTTGAAGGTTTTTGCTTTTTTTGCAAGACCGCTTTTGGTGATCGATGCTCTCTGATTTGTTTCCGCAGATATTCAATAGTCTCAAATGCTGAAGATAATATCCGAGGCAAGGCGAGCTCGAGTAGCTTCTGCTTCACGACTACTTTTCGAACTTTCTCGGACTTTCAATTACTGAGCGTCTGCCATTCGTAATTTTTATTGCTTAATAAATAGCTCAATCAATTTTAATCATCAGACATGAATGATGCTAATGGAGAAGATGTTAAACAATGCAGTAGCGCAGTCGATAGTGCTTTCAACGCTTAAGTGATTCACCACTATAGGACATTTCAATACACAATAGTTATCCATTGTACTTGGGTGGTCAGACAACAGAATGGACAGCCAATCATTATTAGTGAATCATTGTACTACTAATCAAAGATCGTTGTCCAGTATTGGTATTTCATTTTCATTACAATGCAATCATATAAATACTAGCATGCCACGAAAGTTCTAAGAAACATGAGAGTTCCCTGCATTGCTCTGGCTGTGAGTCCAAAATTTGCATCTAACTTCCTACTCAATACGTCCTCTCAGATTTTCCCGTTTTGTGTGGCCACTTTCTGTCCTAGGTCTCCTCCAGTCACAGATGTTGAGTTGAGCAAGGAGATTGCAAACTCTCTTGGAATGGTTTGTTATTTCACATTTTGCGAATCACATCGTGGGTCACTTTGTTACCAAACCGGACGCGAGCACAACGTGTTGTTGTTTGAAGTCGAATTCGAAGGATAGCAAAGAGTTTTTGACACTCCTCATCCGCAAGCAGCACTCTAAACAGATGCAGTATTTTGCTTCTTTCTTAAACAGAGTGCACAATCGAACTGCTCTGTTTTTGACGATAGCGGGAAAAGTTATTGGTCTGCTCAGCGTTGTTTTGGAGTTATCCTAGACGTGCTTTCAGACTTACAATTGCTTAATTGCCCATAAGGCTAATCGAATCGCGACAAATCAGGTCATCCACCTTGATGTTGAATTCGTCGTAACTGAAGAGCGTTTCACGTATGTTGATTGTCCCTCACTCTAATGAGGATCTATCGGCTAAACCATGATTACAGTAAGCTGGATATCCCGCGGCAGTTCTTGGAAAAGTTGAAGGAAGCACAGAAGAGGGTATGCCTTATCGCATTATTTCCATGTTCCAATTTAGTAACAATACGACCACAATATGTTTACAACCACAACGTGATCGGCGGGAAAATTATCTCCGCTGCCTTTTAGTCGCGCTCCCTGGATTTCCTCTCGGTGGAGGGGGGGGGGAGGGGAGAACTTTTCGAATTATAGGCGGGTGTTAGCCACCGCAGTTTTATTCAAGAACTAGCTTGCTTACCCGGCTCAACTCGGCCCTGTCAAAACACTGTAATAAAGGTTCCATCCCTACCCCTGTACAGCCTTTCCCTGTGCCCACATCTACACTTTATTTACCGTTCCCTGTGCTGTTTTCGAAATCAGCATGCCCACATACCCTCCTGTGCCAACTCCCAACCCTGTAGCTCAAACATTGCAAAAAAACGATAAAATCGATAATGGTCGATAACGAAAAGTAGTCTATGACACGCTCCCTGCCCGAAGTGTATGTGTGTCAAGTTTGGTCGAAATCGGTTCAGAAATAAAAATTTCTATTCCGCACATACGTACATACAGACATACATACAGACAAACACACATTCAGCTTTATATTAGGTTGGTCCGAAAGTTCTGTCCCACCATTTTTGAAAAATCGTAACTTCTTCCTAACACGATGTTTTTGCATGGATAAAACCATATCGAAAAGAGCAATTCATGTACTTTCTAGAACTACGTTGGCTGCTATCTACTAAGTTCTAAGTGCAGAGATAAAATTGGGAGAAGGATATTCAATTTCGGAATTTTTAAGCAGACCCGTTAAAAAATCCAAAAGTGTGCCATAAAATCAAAAAGAGGCAGTATTCTGGCTTTTTTGATCCCCTCTTTCCAGCTGATCAAAATTCGCGCTGATCGAGCTCTTTTGGAAGAAGTTATGATTTTCAAGATAAAATGCCAAAAAATCAGTTTCTTAAGAGAATTGATTTTTTGACATTTTTTTCAAAAAATCATAACTTTTCGAAGAACGGCTCGATCAATGCGAACTTTGCTCAACCAGAAAAAGGGAGTTAAATAGTCTAGGATACTAGCTGCATCGGATTTTCTGACACAGTTTCGGAATTTTTAACGGGCTTGCCTCAAAATTCCAAAACTGAAGTGATTCGTTTTCCCAATTTTATCTCTGCTTTCAGATTAATAGATAGCAACCAAGATGTTTCTAGAAAGTGCATGAATTGCTGTTTTCAATATGGTTTTAGCCATGCAAAAACATCGTGTTAGAAAGAAGTTACGGTTTTTTGAAAATGGTGGGACAGAACTTTCGGACCAGCCTAATATATAAGATTGCAAGCCCATACGAGAAATTTTTTCTACAAGTTTATTCTGATTGTTTACAAATACAAACAGGCCACTTACGCATGCTTATAACTCGAGTAGACAATTTTCACAAATTTTGCGACCCATTCTCGGGGGAAGGAGGGAGGGGGTCAACAAGAGAAAAGCTAATCCAAAACGTTGTTCAAATTCTATAAACTTTTGACATAAAGGCACAAAAAGCCTCTTGCTTGTTCTTTCCTTTTCATTTTCTACTTGGCTGTATCAATTAAATTTGGAAACTGTACGGAATGGCAGCGCCGACTCAGCAATGTCAGGTTTGAGTCATCGACTTTCGAACACCTTGTAATTTTTCCATTCACCATTTAGTACAATCTGTTGTATTAGCTTCTTCATAATATATCGGAACTTATAGTGAAAATGTTTGGTTCCTGACTGATATCACAAACAAGTTTCAAAAAGAACACTCACTTAGCTCGCTATCAAGTAACTTTGGGTCTCAGCACCATCAAATTTTTAAAGATAGGGACTTTATGTCGCCTATGGTCTCTACCCGCGCGGACAGCTGACACAAATTTGTAATGTCTTACCAGGGCTCACCACAGCTGGCACCGGGTCAAGCTGGATATCGTTTTTAGGACGGAAAGCAAAGGGGATATCGTTTCTACAGGGGCCGAGGCGGAGAACTGCCGCAAAAATGCCGCCGGCAAGACACCGGCACGCCATTGGCAAGCTGTCCATCAACAAACAAAGGCGTTGTTTTCAGCCAAAACGCAATAGTATGACACCAAATTTGGTGTGTGCATGCGCGTTGGTGGACCGGAACTACGGGCCAAAAATTTATGAAAACTTATGTGAATGAAAGCTGTGCCCAACTTTTTTCTGAATTAGCTGGCACCGTGCCAGCTGGGTGCCAGCTGAGCTTGTCGAGACGCAGAGTAGTTAGATGGTCCGACAGTCTCCACGCCAACTGGGCGGTGCCCAGAATCTCCAGATGAGCTGGCACTCCCCGGGTGCTCGGTGGTCCCCTCCCCAATTATGTTCCCCCACATTTATATTTATGTTATAATGATAAAAGAATCTAGTCAGAACTGTTATGTTAGTGCAAAGGAAAGAAACTAAGGGTTGAGGGATCAAGTTACGAGAGTAATTAACTCGTATACTTGACAAATCAAAAGACAGATCGAAGAAATGCTGCGCACGCGTATAGTTGAGCCGAGTACAAGTAAATTCGCATCACCTATTGTATTGGTAAAGAAACCTTCAACAAATCAATGGCGTTTTACAGTAGATTATCGCCAAATAAACGCCATAACCGAGAATGAAACTCACTGTATACCGCACATTCAGGACATCGTTGATTTAGCTAGTGGCAAAGAAGTTTACAGCGTGTTAGACTTTAAAAGTGGTTTCTTTCAAGTACCTCTTGAACCGAAACATAGAGAGCGGACCGCATTTTCGTCATTTCTAGGTCTTTTCCACTTCACTGTAATGGCCCAAGGTTTGAAGGGCGCTCCTGGTACGTTCCAAAGAGTAGCCAACAGCTTAAAAAGAGAATTGAAAGCTTGTTGTTTTGCTTATTTGGACGATATCATCATTGCCAGTCATACCATTGACGATCATTTCCGTGATTTGGAAGAGGTTTTTCAGCGAATTACTAGTTTTGGAATGAAACTAACGTCAGAAAAATGCTCGTTCATTCAGCAAGAAGTCCCTTACTTAGGTGTGCTCATAAGCAAAAACGGGACTAGACTTAATCCGGAAAAGGTTGCCAGCATTACGAAAATTCCAAGACCTCAAGATGCTAAGGCGCTCAAATCATTTTTGGGTGCAGCTTCATATTTCCGTAGATTTATTCCTCGTTTTTCTTACGTTGCGGCACCTCTAAACGCTCTTCTCACCAAAAATACTTCTTTTGAATGGACAGATGTTCATGAGAATGCATTCGTTTCTCTGAAAACAGCACTTACTACAGCTCCAACTCTCGCATCTCCAATCATAGGTAAGCCCTACATCATACATACAGATGCGTCAACCGTAGGATTAGGTGCTTGTTTACTACAGCAAAATCCGCAAACTTTGAACGAACATCCAATTGCCTATTGTAGTCGCCCGCTTAACAAGCACGAAAAGAACTATTCCATCATCGAACTTGAAGCACTTGCAATAGTATTCGCTCTCAAGCATTTTTACCCGTATGTGGCAGACGCTTCTATAAGGCTTGTTACAGATCATGCTCCTTTGAAATCACCACTGTATCGGTCAGATCTTGTAGGACGTTTGGCGAAATATCAAATCATGATACAAGCTTACGATTTGACAATAGAGTATCGTCCGGGCAACCATAACAGCTTTTGTGACTTTTTGAGCCGCTATCCTGTAATGTCCATTGATATAGCTTCTAACTCAATTCCTAGCTTGGACACCATCAAAGAAGCCCAGCAAAATTCTTCTTTTGGAAGCTTGATCACCTTCTTAACAGGGAATGCTGAGGATCCACCACAGCAGTTTTTGAGTACGCTAGACAAATTTTCAATTTTCAATGGTATGTTATACTATACGATGCATAAAAGACCAAAGCTTGTGGTGCCGGGACAAGAACTCCAGACCCAGATCGTAAAGCTTTGTCACGAAAACCCACTACTGGGATCTCATTTTGGTATTCGCAAAACGTACAAATCCATTTCTGACAAATACTACTGGCCAAACATGTACCAAGATATTGCAAATTATGTAAGATCTTGCGCCGCTTGTCAAAAGGTTAAAACACCAGCAGGAAACATTATCCGAGAGGAACTGGGAAATTTCCCTATTCCTCAACGACCTTTTGAGCGTATACACACAGATATTATCGGTCCACTGCCACAGTGTATCGATGGTAGTAGGTTCATTTCAATAACTGTGTGCGCGTTCAGCAAATATATCATTTGCACGCCTCTGGTGAATCAAACAGCTGATCTGGTAATCAAAGCGCTCATTAACGATGTCATTTCCAAACATGGAATCCCCAATGAAATCGTTAGTGATAGAGGCTCAAACTATGCTAGCGAGCTTTTTGTTCAGATAAACAGAACTCTAGGGATATCAAACAACTGTACGACTAGCTATAATCACAAGGCCAACGGCCAAGTAGAAAGAATGGTGAAAGTGCTCATCGATTCCCTCACCATATACTGCGCAGAAGCGAGAGATCTGTGGTCGGATTACCTCCAACCCATAGTCTTCGCATACAACTGCAGCAAGAACGACACTACGGGATACAGTCCATTCTTTGTTATACATGGTAGACATCCCGTCACATGGATGGACGTAACTCACAAATTACCTTCCACTTTAACGTATGCTACAGATAACTTCGCAGGCCAATTTGCTACAGCTTTGCGAACAACGATAGTGGAAGTAGGATCTAGTATAGCAGCCAAGACTACAAAGCTGGATACGACTATCAAAAGAAGGTATATTGTAAAGACCTTTCCATTGGTGATTTCGTTTTACTCCATGACGACACAGTGCGTCCAAAATTAACCAACCAATGGAAAGGTCCATTTGTGATTGTCTCCATGTGTCGCCCAAATGTTACCATAAAGAGTCTGTTCAACAATACCCTTCAAACGGTTCACGTGAACAGGCTCAAATTGTATTTTAGCCGGCCGCAAGAGCGTGAAGTCTCTGTGCAACCACAATCTAGTCACACAGAGGCAGAGACTCCACGTTCCAGTGTGCCTAATCTCAGATGTTCAGAGCGTCTGAGACAAAGGACCGATTGGTCTCCCTCATAATGAGTGAGAGGGCCAGTAGCAACCTCACAAAAAAAAATCTCATTTACGCAGCGGCTACTGGTACGAAGTAAGTTTGCCGCAAGCATACGCACTATAAAAAGAAAGAATTCTTCGAATGGCGGGTCGAAGAACGCTTTCAAACATTCACTTTTCTTCACGCCCTTGTGAGCAACGCTAGTGTTCGGCCATTTGCTACGTATTGTGGCCGAACCGACATATACATTAATCATCCCGCAGTAAAGCGGGCGGGCTCGGGGGTCAACGAGGCTCTTCTGTTGTAAGCTTCCTGAGTGTCACAATAAACGTTCATAGCGACGTGTTGTGTTATCTCCCAGTTATAAGTTGCCCTATAGTGGCACAATTCTGGTGCATCGGCCAAATTTCTGAGCCACTATCTAGCCCTGCGGTAAGCAGCGCATTAATAGTTCTACCCTTTGTGGAATTGAACTACGACAACGCCTTGTGCAATGTCGATTTCTTATCATAAAAAAACCATTGCTCGCGGCATACAATACCTTCAAGGATTTGTGGATAAATTCACAATATATACGAAGGAATTGCAACTAAACGCTTCATTCGAAGAGAACTATGAAGCGTGCCGCGAAACAATCAACAGCATAAAGGGTGCCATAAATACCCTCCAAATCAGCAAGGATTCGCTGCAGTTATTAATAAACCAACTGCTACGAAGTCATGAAGAGGCCCGTAAGATCAATAAACTAGATGCGGATAAAGAACTGGAAGAGGTAGAAATCCAGACAAATTTTACCGAGTATATGGCCAACGCCACCGAAATGGTGTGCATATTGACCAAAAGACTGTCGGAAGCGCAGAATTACGCCGAGAAAATGGCGAGAAAGCTGGGAATAACCAGCAATATATCCCAGACCGAAACATTATCGGATCCTGGAAGACCTACACAGAGTAAAACTACTGATGAGGTAATTAATTCAACAGAAGCTGCCTGGCTTACAGAGGACAGTTCTGATGATAGCAAAATGTCGACAGATGGTAACGAAATGGCCAGTCAAAGCTTGAAGCTCCACCAAATGAAGCTACCACGCTTTTATGGAGACGAAGAAGAATTTCTTGAATTCTGGGGTATATTTACCACATTAGTGGATCAAAATAAAAGTTTGAGCACAGTAGAAAAAATATTCTTTCTCAAAGACAGCCTTAGAGGAAGGGCTGAGTTAACTGTGAAAGGAATACAACTAATTCCACAGAATTATACGTGGATGACTGAAGAACTCAAAAGAAAATACGGTAATAAACCGATAAATCGCACAAGAATCGTGCAAAAATTAGAGGATATGCTACCTGCAAATGGCTCCGCGGAGAGTTGCATGGATAGATACGACAAAATACGTGTCCTCATTAATCAAATGGTATCTGCCGGCCAAGACATCCGGCAAAGTAACGATGCCCTGTGGACGGAAAAAATTATAGAAAAATTTCCACAAAATATTGTAAGAAGTGTTCTCAGAGCCGTTCAGCAAAAAGGATCGGTCACGATAGAGAATTTAATGAAGGAATTCGATAAGGAAATCTCGGCAAAAATGTTTGTAGATTCCAGACTGAGAAACCGTGGAAGAGAACCACCAAAACCTCAGGATTTTCACCATAAAGAAGATACCAGAAGCAAAGTACGACAATGTATATTTTGCAGCAGAGACCATTTAGGCACGGTATGCAAAGCAACTGATGCACACGCAAAGAGAAAAGTGGTTACAGCAAAAAAACTTTGCTGGAAATGTCTAGCAGACAATCACAACAGCTTCCAGTGCTCCTGGGCGAACTGCTCAGTCTGCAACCAAGCACACAATACTAGTTTATGTATCAGAACTAGAAATAACAATGGGCCGTATAACCCGGCTAACAATAATCAGCATCAAAACAGGCGTACGCCTGCACAATCGAGATTTGCGAACAATTCATTGCGCAATAGGCCAAATGAGCCACGGTGGGGACCTAACCAAGCTAATATTCACACCACCGACGTACCACAAAATGAGGAAACGCCGCCAAAACTCGAAAATTCACGAACAAAAGAACAAATTGTGCTCATGACGGCAGAAGGCAATATTTGGAATTACAATACTTGTCAATACGAAAAAGTCTTGTTCTTTTTCGATACAGGAGCACAAAAAACGCTCATTCAAGAGCAGATCGCTGCAAAACTTGGACTACCGCGTAAAGGTGCAGAATTGTGTACTATGTCGGGAATCGGCGGACACATTGAGAAATTTCAAAGCAACAACGTCCAAATCAAGGTTCTGTCAGCATTTGGCGACGAATTGAATTTTGAAATTCAAACAAAACCAATTATAACCAACGGTTTTCCGTCTGTTAAGTTAACAGCTGACGATAAAAAGTTCTTGCAACATAAGGAAATCTATTTATGCAATCCAAGAGTTCAAGGGGAAATCCAGAATCCACATATATTAGTCGGATTAGATTACTACTACAATTTCATGCTTGCCACGCAAAACACTTCGATCCTACCGTCGGGATTACATATTGCGAGGACCATTTTCGGCCCCGCAATTCACGGGCGAGGAACTGAACCCAACTCAAAAGTTGCCGAATCTCCAATAATGTATGGATTAACGCTCGTAAACGAAAAATCGGAGGCGGTTATCTTACAAAACATGTTTGAACTTGACGGTTTAGGCATATTTGCTGATGACGCCAAACAAGATGAGGTTACTTACAGTTACTTCCGAGAGTATTCAAAATCGATATCTTACGATAACGGCTACGCTACAGCTCCGTTCCCTCTGCGAGACAACATCGCTGACCTCGCGGATAACTACCCCGTCGCTCAGCGTCGGCTCGTTTCTTTATGGCACCAGTTGCGCAAAAATAACGAACAAAACAACTGGTATTGCAAAATTATGACAGATTACCTCAAAAACGACATTGTCGAAAAAGTACCAGAAATTTTAGAGGAACATTGTGGTACTTACTATATGCCACATTCGGGAGTGTGGAAACCCCAAAAACCAAAACCACTGCGAATTGTATTTGATGCATCATCAAAACAAAAGGGACAAATATCACTCAACGAGGTTATTGCAACGGGAGAGTCGTTTACAAACAAAATTCACGACATCCTAATAGCTAGTCGCTTCCCAAAAATTATCGTTTTGTGCGATATTGAAGCCGCGTTTACGCAAATCAGACTACCAGATGCCCACAAAGATCTATGTCGATTTTTATGGCTCAAAAATACCACTGAACCACCTGTAAAAACCAACATCATACAGTATAGATTCAAAAGGTTGCCTTTTGGTATCACCGCATCACCTAGCATTTTAAATATGGTGCTTATGAAGTTTCTCGATGCAAAAGACACAGATTTATCAAAAGAAATTGCACAAAATCTGTACGTCGACAACATTATGCTTCAAGCCGAAACTGCGGAAGAAGCAATTTCAAAATGCAAACTTGCCAAAGAAATGTTTGCAGAAATTGGGCTAAATCTACGAGAATTCATTTCTAATTCCGTAGAAGTCAACAATGCCATACCCGAAAAAGACAAATTAGCGGGTAAAAAGATCAAATTTCTTGGTGTAGAATTTGATATTGAAACAGATCAATTTTCTGTCAATACGAAATTTTCATCGTTAGAAAAATTACGCAAAAGGGACATAGTAAGCCAGCTAAATTCAGTCTATGATCCTATTGGATTAGCAGCTCCGCTGCTAATCAAACTTAAATCTCTTATGCGAGAGATTTACACTCTAAATATGGACTGGAAAGATACGGTACCAGAAGAATTGCGCAAAAAATGGCAATTAGCATGCCAAGAAGTGAACAGTGCATCGATTACCGTTCCGCGATGCATAATAATGCACCGTGCATTAGCTAGTGACACCACATTATGGATTTTCGCGGATGCTAGCAAGATGGCTATGGCAGTGTGCGCCTTTCTAAGGTGCGAACGATCGTATAAGGTCACGGGATTGATTAGCGGCAAGACGAGATTAACTCCCAAGAAAGCTATTCAAACTATCCCACGGCTAGAGCTAATCGCAATCGTTTTGGCCTTACGTTTGGCAACTACAATATCAAACAATGCCAAAAATATATTCGAAAAAATCAATGTAATTAGTGACAGCGAAATTGCGTTAGCATGGATAAATTCCTCTCGAAAAGTCCCCATATTTGTGGCGAATCAAGTTGATCGCATCAAAAAGTCGAAACAAAACTTAGCTACAAATGGACTATCTGTAAAGTTTGGATATGTTCCCTCGCAAAATAATCCAGCAGATGCCGGTACACGCGGTCTGTCCGCTTCCAGCATTTACAACCACAGCTGGGTCAACGGTCCGACATGGCTGGCGAGCAATAATTTATCACAGCTACGTTGGATAACAACATCTTGGTTGGCAAATATGCAAAACAAATTTGACCCCCAGGACGACGAGAACACACACGTCCATCACAACAACGTCGAGATTGTGACCTCGACCATAAACTTTACAACAGTCCCACTGGCGAGGCATTCAAATCTGGCAAAAGCTCTGCGAGCTTTTGCCATCGCAGCTAAGCTGCTCAATAAATGGGTGCATAAATGCAATACAAATAGAGGCACCAACATACGTTTAGTAACCACAAGTGATTACGAACAATGTCCCGAAATTACAGCCAAAGACCTTGATTTGAGCCAGAAGCAGATTATTTCAGAAATGCATAAAAACATTAACATTGAAAACCTAGCAAAAAGGTTTCAGAATCAAAAATTCTTCAAAGATAATGATGGAATTATTCGTTTTGAATCAAGGATTCAAAACGCAAATCTGGGTTACGACACCAAAAATCCCATTTACATTCCAAAAGACTCGGATTTTGCCCGATTATTGGTACATCAATTTCATATTGATAATGCTCATGCAGGAAAAGATCATACCTTGTCACTCATTCGACAAAAATATTGGATCCCACAACCTTCTCGTACTGTAAAGAAAGTTATTGGAAGATGCACTATTTGC